AATTAAAACTTTTCAAATAAAAACAATATAACTGCAAACTTGACATCGCAGTCTGGTCATGCCTTGTTTGTGAATCTGAAAGTGAAAGCAAACCTTTGCTGTTGTCCTGCTTTCAGATATTGTGTATTGTTGTGCAGGGCTTCAGGCTGCAGCCAAATGGACACATTTTGTGACCATTTTCCTGCTGTTGTGACTGAATATTTTTATAGGCAAAATTACATATAATAATATTTAAAAGTAATGCTGAGACGATTAGGTTAACTGCACATCCAATCACTCCCCGATTTCGCTTTCCTTCCCCGCCAGTCTATCATCCTCACAGGTAAACACACTCACTCAAATCTATTTCATATCTTTTTTTCTGATGTCATGTTTACATGTGCCAGGGATTTCAGTCAGAATGCACACAGCTACCTGTTTGCTGCATTTTTTACTGTCAAGGATCACTTCTTATACTTGCCTTTTAGTGTGAAGTGCTCTTAACTCAAGCAACAGCATGAATTGTTAGGCATTTGCATACTGCTGGAATATATAAAGACAACATGCGTTTTTTGAGCTTTTTGGTGGTTGGCTACATGATCATTTCAATACTATTGCTCTCTCCTCTTAAAAGCAAGTGTGCGGGTTGTATTTCTGGAGTTAAGTGAATGGAAACTTATCTTTTACGTGAGTCACCAGTCATTTATCAAGTTTGTGTGAACTGGTAGAAGGATGATGTGTGCAAATAGGAAAACTAATTCCACAAAACGTAGGATGGAGAAATAGTTAATTTATTCTTCTTATTATTACAATTATGAGGGTTCATACAATCATGGAAACAACTATTGTGGCTGCTAAAGGTGGCCACATCCTTATAAGTCTCACACATTGACATGCGGCTCACATGGTCATGACATTCTAAGTCAATCTCTCTCTTTTCTCTCTCTCTTTTGTATGTTGTAGTGCTGTATTTACACCATATAACTGTAGTGTGTTGCGTGTGAGATGGGACTCGCATATTAGGAATGTATGTATTTTGTGTTGGCCACTCTTTGTATAACCACAAGTTACTTTTTAGTTGGCCCTCTGTTTGTTTCTCCAGTTTGAGTCTCCTGTTTTCAGTGCAGACTAGTTTAGTAAAAAGAAAGAAAGAAAGAAAGAAAGAAAGAAAGAAAGAAAGAAAGAAAGAAAGAAAGAAAGAAAGAAAGAAAGAAAGAAAGAAAGAAAGAAATGCCTGCATGTGTTTAGCGTTTTGCCATATCACATACACAAGACTAATCTGGTATAAATGTGTGTAGTATCAATGTAATAATACATTAGTTGTCATCATGTGACTAGTTAGTTTCATCACTTAACTTTCATTGACAAAAGACTCATAAAGTATGGTACAGTATGGTATGCATTTATCCACTGTCAGAAGTACCAAAATAGCAAACGCATATTCATTTTTTGGGGTTCCTTCATAAGGTTAACTAGCACAACAGTACAGTAATGAAGAGTGGAGCTAGATTCTCTGCAAAACAGATTGGTTTACAGAGACATGTCTCTTGCACATGCTACAATTAAGAGGATCGACTACACAAGAAGTGTAATTGGGCAACCTGAAAAAATGCCAATTTTGTTTGATTCAAACTTTTAGAAATGAAACTTACAGGACATTTGATGTTTAACTTTATTGGTGATTCCAAACACGAAATGTAGTGTAAAGTTTGGCAAACAGTTTCAGAGAATTTGATGTTTCTCAATTCAAAGAGAATGCTTCAAAGTTGGCCGCCAAGTGAAATTACTTGTCTTAAGGCTACTTTGCTATAATGTAGTAGGCAAGCATACATTCAGCGATTCAAAAAACTACACTATTAATCAGAAAGTCAGCTCTCTTGCTGAATCACAAGTCATCTCTGACTCAAAATGTATCAAGAATCATGTGATGTCATACTTTAGACTTGTACTTGCAGTTGCTTAATAATTGGACATATGATGATGAGTAGTCTTCGGGTACGTTTATGAGAATGATGTACAAAAATAGGGCTGCACAATATGGGAAAAATCTGACATTGCAATATATATTTTTGATATACTTTGTTACAGTTGGAAAGACTTTTTGGCCACTTTATTTTAAGGTTCAGTTCTCGTTCTTGGCAAACCATTTTGACTTTTGCTTCAATAAACTCCTAATTTGTTCCTTATTAATAGTTTTTAAGGTAATGTAGGTATTGGGTGTGGTTAGGCATGTAGAATAAGATTATACAGAACATGTGATTTATAAATATTATTAAGCAACCAATATCTCAATAACATGCATGCTAATAAGCAACTAGTTAACAGTGAGAATTGGTCCCTAAAGGCTGATTTATACTTCTGCGTCAAACGCCGGCGTAAGTTACGGCGCTGACGCATAGACCTTCGCTTACGTGCACCTCTCAAAAAAAATGTAACTACACGTCGCAACAACGCGTAGTGCAAGCTCTGTGATTGGTCGGCTTGGTAGTGCTGATGAGTCTGGGCAGCACCGAGAGCCGCGCGAATGGCGCGAGCGATTGTTTACAAGTGTGGAGTCCCGTGAATGAGCTCCGGATGGAAAGTTTTGTTTTGTGTTTACCTCATAGTTAAAGTTATCGCACGTCAGCCGGTTCCTGCCTCAAAATGAGCGAGTTTCAGTCACTTGTACATCCTGGAAGTGTTCAGGAAAAGCAAAACAGAAGCGAAGAAACTCGACACAGGGGAACATTTACACCTCACTGCCAACTAGCGTTTCGGAAGTGTTAATGCAGACCAACAGAGACAGCGCGCAGAAGTATAAATGCACAGCTGCCCGCGTTGCCTGCGCCGTGAATTACGCCAGTCATCTGACGCAGAAGTATAAACCAGGCTTAAAGTGTTACTGAATGTATTAACTTTGATTGGGAAGATTTTGTAGGGGAGTGAATTATGCATAAACTACAAGCATTGATACATGCAACAAAGCAAATATAAATGTGACAGTAAACAGTGCATGCATTAAATGTAAATGTAAAAATGACAAAAGTCAACTTAACATTGCATATTTTTGCAATGTGACTATTGCGGATGCACACATTGTGATGTCGATGCTGAAATATTATATGTAGTATTATACAGATGACATGCAAAACCACTACAAACAGTGCATTATGAGTGTGTTAACATTAAAGAATTACTAAATTGCTTCATTGTTATGTAAATGAACAACCAAAACACACTACAAAATTTAGACAAAATTTGTGTTTTGCAAACGTTCCACATTACTGACTTAAATATTAGTGTGCACTTTTTTTTGATTTGCACAATATATCGTTTCAGTATCGTGATCGCTCCAATAGATTATAATTACAATACAGCCTTTCTGAATTATTATTTTTTAGGCTTGTAACTGTGTGAAAATTTTAAAAGCATTCAGGCATAAGAAATAGCACGGCTTGATTTAAAAAAAATAATAACGATTAATTTAATTTAATTGTTTATAAAACAGAGACTATTTATAATTATGGATTATAGATTATTCAATTAATGTATACCTGAATATAGATTGACTCATTGGAAAACAATAAAATACTTTTTATTTAGATAATATATATTTTTCTTTATTAAATTCATATATGCTTGTAGATTGTTTCTTATATTTTATGCTTATACTCTCCAACAGAATCATCCCAATCAATCTAGAATAATAAATTCTTTCTAATATCATAATATTACAATATTCAATGCCAATATTGTGCAGCCCTAATAGACAGACAAGCATTAGTTAATGCTACTCTGTTTAAACCATAAAAAAACATAAGGATTTTGGTAATCACCAGTACTGTTAGTTTAGTGGTTATTGCTGTAAGCTGTTAATGGAACCATTAATAAACTAAATCCTGGATATAGAATCGAATACAAACAATTAACGTTACCGATCCCTACGATAGCAATCCACAAATTCAAATTAGAAATAAATAAAACAATGACCTGCGTTTATAAAGAGAGATTCCATCAAAACTGTATGAAAACAAACACTCAACCACATATGCATGGCCAAATAAGAACTCGCGCATCTCCCTCGTGTTAAACTAATGAGTTATGAGTTAAATGCTAAGGTGCATCTAAACATGACCTAGACCCACTGAACTACCCGGCGTTGTGACTCGTGACGTCAGACGACCGTAAAACATCGTCACGGCGACTACGAACTTAGTCGACCAAAGTAAAAAAAATCTTCTGGATGACAAAAGCAGCCCATGCTCCACATATAATAGCGGAGTCCAGGCAAATCACGAGGTAAAATGCTAATTAGCAGCATTCCCAATACCATCCACCGGCGCCCCAACTTTTCCTTTCTCCACGGAGTCGAGCTCCCGAAAACCGAACCGTGGCGTGCAGTAGTTGAGCAAAGAGCTGACTCACTAATCTCAGCCCTCGCTGAGACTGTCAAATAACACCGCGCATTTACTTTCAGCACAGCGATAGCAACATTATTGCCTTCAGCCTCTAACGTTAGCTTCGGAACTCGCGATGTAACACGAGTGTTCCCGGGGAACTCCATTAACACGTTACAATGTAGCACTTTTCTCCGCCCGCTAAAGTTAAAAAGCCCACAAATAATGTTCAAAGCAGACTCCAGCGCGAGTCAAATGGAGGCTCGCAGGCTAACGCTAGCCAGGCAAATAAAGAGGGGGGAGCTGGCTAAACTTAATCGCTCAAATGCAAGCAGCGCGGGCGAATCAAGTAAATCAGCGACACAGCCGAAATGTTTGAACAATAACTGCCGTGCCTCCGCTTGAAGGTCGCTCAAAGAGATTTGTTTACACTAAGGCAACAAGCAAAACAAAACTCCCCAACTCTGCAAAGTGACCAGGCTGAAATAGCGAGCGTAGCTGGTTTAGCAAGCTAATGCAGGATACCGCCGCCGCGGAACTGTGATTGGATCCTGCAGCGAGTGGGTAAAAAAATCGCGTTACAAAGCCTCCACAAACCGCCATTCACCGGCAAACATAGAAGATTTGCAACCATGTCGAACTTACGGTGTTTGGTTTCCTCCTAAATCCCGTGCGTTATGTCCAGCTCTGACCTTCGGCTTGGTGAAACAGCATTATAGTTAACTGCCGCCGCCATGTTCCTGCTGCCGTATGCCTAACGATGGCTGGCTGCTTGTTTATCTCGCCAGCAAAACCTCCCCCACATACTACGGGCACCAGTATCTACTCGTTTACTCTAGCCTGCATAGCAACCTTGCAGCGAGCAACGGGGCAAAATGATGATACAGCAAACATAAGGACACGGCTCACCAGTTGGATAGCATTTTCCTAGGCTTTGTGCTTTCTAAACTCCAAGTGGATGTTTCATAATATTAGAGAGGGAATCAAAGCTGTGTCGAAAAGGCAGTTTGCCACATTTAAAGTGCTGCTGTGGGAGAAAAAGTGTGCCAGAGTGGTCAGGTTACGAGCCCTTGTTGTTGTTATTCCAAAGCCAAAGCAATCTGCACTCTATTATCAATGTCATAACAGGTTCATTAAAAACCAAGTTAGATGAGCCACGCTGGAAACCAACATCACATCCTGCTTGTGATGATTCACTTCAAGGCTGTTGATGTACATTTTAAATGTTTGTTTTGCTTAATTTAATCAAATAGAAACTTTTTAGGAAAACAAAACAGTACCAGCTTTTGGAAGGGATGGTCCAAATGTTTTGTATGAAAATAGTAAAAAGCCTAATTTAAAAACAAATTTACCAGTGTTTTTTAAGTTTAAATGTTCAATTGGTTGTCAGGCTGGTCTTAAAAATGTATAAAATTTAAGTCAAATCCAAGTGGCCCAAAAACACAGGGTATTTACAGAAATAAAATATGGTAAAATACAATCCTATAATATGAATTTCTCAAAAGCCTATTCTAATTAAGTCAAGATGTATTGCCTTGATTACAAAATGCCTATTTCACAAACAATTAGGCCATTTTATCTGTAAAATTGAATGACAACAAGGTGTTTTAATTTGAGGACAGTAAACCGACAGATGCAATTCTATCCATCATGACTATATTGTACCAAGTGGACAGTCAATTAATTTATTAGGAAGCCTCGAGACATAACTGCCTTAAATTAAACCCAAGATTTACAGAAAAATTATCAATTGTTGTTGATCTAATTGTGAAATTATTACTTTAGAAAAAAATAAAAATATTAAAAATAATAATTAGAAAGATTAGCCTATATTATAACAAAATATACAGTGCTCAGCATATATAAATACACATCTCACGAATATTTTAATTTATTATTTTTAATAGGAAGCTATACAATATTATATTTGTGCATTCACATTAGATTATTCATTACTGAAGCCAAATCTGGAGCTTATTTAACAAAATGACTCATGATAATGGTCCAAAAGCTAGTACCCACACATTTGTTATAGAAAAATATTAAATGCAAATTTAAAAGGAGGAAAAATCAAGAGAAGTAAAAAATTAACAATGTTTTAAAATTGTGTAGGTTGTAATTGTTTTGGGTCATATTTTGCTTCAATTGAATTGTATTATCTTTCAATTTCTAATTAAGTTTGACTAAATGTTATTTTAATAAATATATCTGATTAATAAATCTAAATTGTTAAAATGCACCCAAATACATTGCCTATCTTCACTGAGAAATGGATAAAACTATTCAAAATGGGGTTATGCTAAACACTGTATGTGTGTGGGGTTTTTAACATTTTAACCATTACATATATAAACAACAGCAACAATTTGCAATAAAGTTACTTTAGTCAGAGCATTGATGTTAACAAAAGTTAGCAATTTGTTACAGTGTTTATTAATATATGTTAACATTTAGTAATTCCTGCACTTATAAGTCTATGTCAATTCAGGAGAATTATTATACTATTAACCTTTTAGCCTTCATTTCAGTATTGCATTAAACTATGTATAAATTAACATTAGAAATACTTAAAACGTAGCTACTTCGAGTTACTTGATGTTGACTAACGTAGTAAAATCTTACTGTAAAATATGACCAATAAAATGAGAACAAACTCTCCAGTAATGCTTACAACATTCAAATTGTCATGTCTCTGAACAGTATCGACTTCTCAAATTCATACCCATTTCTCACTTTTCCCCCATATTCCCAGAAAACAAGCCTCTGATAGCCACAAGCTCGTCGAGTACATCTGTCAGAAAGGCAAAGCTTACCGTGATTACTCAGCAACAGCAATAAACCCCAAATGTGTCAGGTATCCAAACAAAACCCACACGGCGACAGGTTTATTTCCTTTTTGAAAATACTTCCATGTAAAGGCGAGCGAGATGAAATATCGAAACGAATCCTGCAGTTCCAGCGCGTGTCGATCAAAGGTCTACATCGAGTGTAACTTCTCTCAGAGGGAAATCTGCAAACAGTGACTTATGCAATATTCTGCTGTTCACACTCTTTTAGACTGGCACGCGCTTGACAACAATTGTGAAACAATACGAGATTGTCGGAACGAAACGTCCCGAAAGAGACTGCACTATTAGTTCAGCGTTCAGAGACTATATTGTTATAATGCGTTGATAGCTTGTATCTTTGCTTGAGGAGAATAGCCTTAACATACACGTAGAGTGCTTTGCAAAGCCAACAAATATTACTGTGCTTTCTGTTTAAGAAATACCGCGGAGAACAGCGCCACCGTGAGGTTAAGGGAAACATCGTTTAAAAAAATTTTCTCAACATTTGCAAACTTCATATTGTCTTTTTCCTTCTTCTGTTGAATACAAAATCATATTTTAATGAAACCAATACACCCATAATGCAAAACATTTCTACAGAAGTCATAAGCTTCCAGTCTCCAACACTTTTCAAAATAGCTTCTTAAGTGTTCAACAGAAAACTCAAACAGGTTTGGAATAAATGACGAGGAAATAACATTCTCTTTACTTAAGGAGAATGACTGAAGCAAAACAAAATGTCTTCATTACATATCCTTTTTATATTGCATATAAAGTGTGTAAATTATGCATGCTATATAATTTGTTGTTTTTACATACCATTATTATTACGGCTTATTGATATTGGAAAAAAATCTGATATTGTGATATTTTATTTTCTCAGAGAATTATTGCAATATTAATACGTTTTCACAAAATGGTTTGAATTTCTCTATTTGATAATTTTCTAAGGAGTTTTAAAGGATTCGGGTACAGAAATAGAGAAATCGCAATGCCAAAAAATTATTTTTTACTTTGTCTAGTTTCTAGTCAAAATATCAACAACAACAAAATCTAAGACCAAGTAAAAATATTGTTTAGTATAGTTTTAGAAAAAAAAATAATAATTTTAAAGGAAATTATCTGCCTGTGGGATGAGTGAAAGTATCGTTTTCACTTTGAACTTTAGATATTTGGACAAGAAACAAGACATAAATCATATAAATTCTTAATAAATGCAGTGATTAAATACAATTCTACAGCTCAAGATCAACTATAATTCAGACTAGACATTGCATATATTTGCAATGCGACTACTGCAGATGTGCACATTGCAATATCGATGCTGAAACAATATAATGTGCCTAATTAAGTTTTACATATAAAATGTTTGTACAGGAGATTCAAAAAGCTTACCTTTTAGTGCTTTGTTACTATTTGGACCATACTATAAAATATTCAACCCTAAGTTTATAATAAATCCTGGCATATACTTGCATTACTTTCACTGTAACCTGCATAAATTCACAGTAAATTACTGAGGTAGTTCATAATAAAAATAATTCTGTAAATATTTCTAAATATCAAAAAAAAAAAAAAAAAAGTGTCTGTACTAGCATAAAAGTTCATGTGTATTATTTCCTGTCAAATAAAAGTGTTGGAATTCCTATAACTAACGTGCAAAAGACATAGCCCTTTTTTTTTTACAGTAATTTGCTGTAATCATGATGCCTGCCTCAATTTCACAATAAAATTCAGAATACAAAAAAATTTAACAGTTAAAATCCTATAAAGTAATACTAATGTAATTTACTGTGAAAAATTACAGTAACATGTTGTAAAAATTTTTAGTGCAGGGTTTCCATTCAAAGCTAAATATCATATTTCCTGACTTTTCACTGCAGCAGAACGTTTATTACTTATAATTAATGGAAAAACAGGCTTTTAAATGGTTAGAGCAAGGGTCACCAATCTCGGTCCTGGAGGGCCGGTGTCCCTGCTGAGTTTAGATCCAACTTGCCTCAACACACCTGCCTGGATGAATAAAGAATACCTAGTAAGACCTTGATTAGCTTGTTCTGGTGTTTTTGATTAGGGTTGGAGCTAAAATCTGCAGGACACCGGCCCTCCAGGAATAAGTTTGGTGACCACTGGGTTAGAGAATATAATTTAGCATGAGCTTTAACAGCCACTATGAGAACAATTTATCATTAATTTTAGATTCTAATAAAAAAAATACTGAATGTGTTTGCATGGCTGTGAATGCTTCCTCTCCCATATTTGATAACTTGACAGTTTTAGAAGGTTCACATTTAGTTTTTGTTACCTACAATTTGTTATTGTTTTCGCAATTTTAAAATGGTAATTTTCAAGTCAAAGCTCTTAAAATATCCTATTAGTCTTAGTTAACAGGTCAATGACTGCGTTTCATTCAAGGTTCATAATAAGAGCCATGATGTAGTGGGATCTGAAAATAAAACGTAAAAAACAATTACATTTTTACATACAAACAAAACAAAAGTTACAAACAAAAGTCAGCAAAAGTCTAGATCGGATGCGCAGTTGGTCGTAAGTGCGATCTGCACATCATTATAGCAGCATTTATTCATGACGCTGTATAACAATAATTAACACTTTTACAGTACTCTTGATGATTGGGTTTAGGGTTGGGGTAGGTGTTTAAAAAATACAACTTATTGGGTAATTTAATAGATAGCATAAGTAATACTCTGCATAAATATAATTTTTACGTTAAAGTGACGGTTTGGTGTAGGGTAGGCGTTAAAAAATACAATTTATTGGGTTTAATAGATAGCATAAATAAAACTTGGTACAACAACTACTGTTTTTACGTTACTGTGATGGTTAGTTTAGGTTTGGCAATAAAGACAATTTATTGGGTAATTTAATAAATAACGTAAATAATAC